ACCGTCTTGTTTTTAAAAAGGATATCGTGTTATTAAGAACATAGAATCCCAGACTGGTTTGGGTTAGAAGGGACCTCAAAGCTCATCCAGTTCCAACCCCCCTGCCAGCAGCAGGGACACCTTCCACTAGACCAGGTTGCTCAAAGCCTCATCCAACCTGGTTGAGAACACTTCCAGGGAGGGGACATCTTGTTTAGGTGCCAGCATCATTCAGCTGGTGAATTGCAGTGAAGTGTGGGAGGCCTGTGGGGATTCCCACAGCGCCGTGGGTGTCTGGGCTGGGTTTGATCCCCCCGGCAGTCCTTTTAGCAGGGCTGTAATGCTGCTATCTGCCTTTAGAAAAGGTTGCTTGATTAAAAAGTCTGGCAAAATGAACAAGATGAAGGGTGTTGGGAGGAGATGAAGGGGGACAGATTTCTGGTTCAAGATCAGATATGAGAATCCCAAAGTCTTTTTTATCTGTCCTCATCTCTGCTGCAGATGGCTTGGGTGACCTTGTGGAGGCCATTTAATTGCTTTGTGCCTCTGCAAAAAGGCAGCAGCCACCCTTTGTACTTCGTGGAGCCAGTTGTGAGGCAAAGGCATTTTTTTTTTCAGATGTTTCTCCACCACTTGGGATTATTTGCCTGAAAGGGGCAGTTGTATAGAAAACCCGGCTGATTCAACGTTGCTTCGAGTTGTTGGTGTCATCATCTGATTATGGTGTTTTCCTTGTAAAGATAAAGGCCTCGGTCCTGAGAAATGTTTCAGCACATGCTTGGCTGTGAGTCTGTGGGCGTACTCACGTGTTGGTGGCTGGTGCTTGTGACCAGCAAAACGACGTCACCGTGAGGAGTGATAGGTCAGAGCTCTCCTCTCCTCTCCTTGTAGCTCATGGAGAAGTGAGCTTGGTTATATCAATCCAGGTGACAGCTGTGGTACCACCAGACCTGTAATGGAGAACACTGTGTTTGAACTCCAGAACAACCCTCCTGAGCTCTCCTCTCCTCTCCTCTCCTCTCCTCTCCTCTCCTCCCACAGGCTTTCTCTTTACTTGGTTTTCATTCTTGCTGCCACTCGTTCTCCATCACTAGGGTTTCTCTTAGGAGTTTCAAAAAAGCTTTTGTGCTTCTTGGTGGGCATGAAACTTAGTGGAGATCCTGTGAGCCAAAGCCCAAGCCCATGACACGGCACTGTGGGATGCCCTCCTGGGCAGCCAGCATCTTTCACATCCCACCTCTGCCTGTATC